TGGGTGCTCGGACCCTAATAAAAGACAAATAAACCAATTTCAGGTGTAACTGTCATGTTTTGTAATCTCCATGACTATTCACACACGGTATTAATGCAGCAGTTGTTGTTTTTTTTTTTTAATATAAGGAGACAACTCGTGCTTTTAAATATTAATCAAATGCATTTATTTTTTTTACTGGGCTAGTATAACAAATTAATACAAAGTACAACTCCGTAGACATCATAGATTGTCAAAAAAGTAAAGTACAAAACGCTTGAGGTAAAACATCATTGAAAAAGATTCAGTTAAAAAGCCCTTATTAAAATCTGAATTCATTTCAAGGTGAATGCTCACTTTACACTATCTAGCTGTCCTAAAAAAAATAAAAAAAAAACCAACAAAGCACTTTTATTTACAAGGTAGTGGTGGTGCAAAATACAGTGTGTGAGACAACATTCAGTCAAAAACTTCTCATGTCTTTGTCAAATGTAAACAATAAGCACTGTCATGTTCCTCAAACTCCGAAGCTAATACGGAAAAGCAAAATGCTGTCACACCGATGTTTGCTCTAAGGATTTTGCATTAGACTCTATGAGCGCTGGTGACACGTGAGCGCAGAAGACCTCATTACTACCAAGCAGCACACGACAGAGCGCAGACAGAAGATATAAAACCGGTCTTTCAGATTACACATATACAAAACAAATCCGTGAAATTCCAAAACGGGACGTAAAGTTTTAGTCTTTTTTTTTTCCCACGTGAACGACGGCTCTGATGGTCGTCTCCTCAGCAGAGGTAAGAAAATCTCCTGTTGTGTGAAAACCTTGTAATTTAACTTTAGTTGCTCCTCAGTGGGTTGAAGAATAAGACGAACAATATTCTCTGTTTTTAGTATTTTTCTTATTGTCACAAATCCCATTAAATAAATAAAACTCGTCCTGTCTCTTGATACTTTTGCAGCTTCCCAGGATCTCACCGTTAAAAGCATTCATTCCTACTGAATGTTGTTTTGAGTTTTATTCTTAGATAGGGCAAATATTTCCCTAAAACTGCTTTAAATTTAATTTTTGTTGCAGGTTTGTGCATCTTTGCACAGTTGCAGCAATACTGTGTCACTGACTATCTTCTGCCGTGGATTAATTACATTTATTGGATGCTCCATCGACTATTTACAGTCCAACGTCTAACAAAAAGGCACCACGACCATGCAACTATTTGGCTCACCAAAATAAAGCTCACAAAGGAATAAGATAAACCAGCCTCTGACCAAAGAGGCAATACTTGTTTACTGGATCAATTCATTGTTGATTTTAGCCTTTCCAAGGGATTTGTTGACAATAAGAAAAACATAAGATACCATCAGACGCATCCTTAAAGATCTTCAGTCCTTTGATAACAGTACCACTTTGTGTCTTGTCTGATATGCGTGTTTGTCTTCGCTCCTTAACAATTAAAAGGTTTTCACCCACCAGTGAAAGCACTTGGAAGAGACTCGTCATGGAAACTCATCGTACTACAGTTTGAAAGAAAAAAAAAAAAAGAGGAAGATGGTACCCATCTTAATGAAATGTAGTTATAAGACTTCTTCCCATTTTCTCCCAAAATATTCCTGCACACACTCGGGGTGCGTCCCTAAAGGCAGCGACAGTTACACAGTGCTCTGCCTGCTCTCGCGGCTAAGCCCCATTGCCTCTGAGGAGTGAGGTGGGAAATCGATAAATATCCCATCTGAGTCTGAGTCGGCAGACTCTAGCACTTGTCCAATTATGGTTTCAGGGCTGGATGATTCACTGGGTGGCGTGGAGGATGCACCCTTACTGAGATCAGTCATTGTTGTTGTGGCCTCGGTGCCGTGGAGAGCTCCTGAGGAATGAAGGGGAAGGATGGAGGGAGACGAAAGAGGCAAGTCCAGGGCGCCGGCTCCTGCTTGAACGAGACCTACGAGAGAGACGGTGCTGGATTATTATGGGTTAGACTGGGATATTTTAGAATAAACCAACAAAACGATGGACACAGACAACTCAAAAAACAACTACTGCCCTACCGTTGAACTGGGAGCCCACACACAGCCTGTTGGAGGAGGAGGCAGACAGCTCAGAGCCCGGGGCCCGGTCAGCGAAGGCCAGTCCTTGTTCCTCCAGGCATGTTATGATCTCGCAGGCCGAGTGGCGCCGGATTCCTCCGCTGCCAACCGAGCTGGCATCTGGGTCATACTCAGCCACCGGGGTCAGCAGCAGAGGAATGTTGTAGCTTTTCGATCGTACCACAGGGTTTTTAGACGATTGATCCGCCGCTGACTTGGGCCAGCCCCACGGTAGACGCTTCTCTGGAAGACGAGAGCGAAAAGATAAAGACCATAAGATGTGCTACTCTTTAGACACCAACATTTTTTTTAGCTGTTCTTCTGCCTCACCTAGAACACAACAATGTGCTTCATCATCGTCTTCGGAGTAAAGTCCGTGGGTGCCCAGGTAGGGCGAGACCACCTTCTGGACCAGAGACTCTAACCTCAGGTACTCCTCGTTCACACCACGCGACTCATGGACGCCCTGAACACAGAGACAGACGTCACGGTGTGAAATAATAATAACACCATCACGAGGGCATGAGAAATAAAAATAAAAAAGCTGTTTGGATAATCATAAAAAAAGCATTCATTCAAGTAAAAATACCAAATGTTTTATAGCTGTAGCAGCTCAACTGTGAGAATTTGGTGCATTCATCGGTCTCGTAAAAAAAAAAAATCACTTTGCTAACAATAAGGTTTTGAATAACTGAGTTTTATGACCGCAGAACTAAGCAATAAACAGATAGTAGTAAAAATGCAGCATAACAGAAATGGAAATAAGCGAAAATAAAATGTTGCTGTGGGCTCAGAAGGAAAAAGGAATAAATAAATAAACACAAGATCAACTGATGATTAACTGATGCTACTTCATTATCAGCTTTTTTTCCGTCACTGGTTCAGGATTTAACTTCAAAATGTGGTAAATACACATTAGAATTGTATCTTCTATTTAAAATAATACATTTTTTTAAGTGATTTTATGCCAACCAGTGTGTTTATATCCACCCAGTAGAAACTTAATCAGCCTAATACCAGAGTGGGGGAATAAATCTTGTCTTCGTAAAGATTGTAGTTCTTCTTGAAGTATTGATTAATGATTATTTTGGAGACTTCACTTTGCGCTGCTGATGAATTGTACTACAACATAAAGAGAGGTTTTCTAATCTTTAGCTCACCCTCAATCACATCACAATCTGGACTCTCCACACACTTGGATCATCACCTCTCCAAAAAAAATAAACTGATGATTATATTCTTCATAAAAGGAGAACATATCCGCAGTAATGTTGGATAAGTGAACACAATAACAAGGCAACTGCTCGACTGAAGCTGGACCAGAGATGCACAACAGCAGCTGGTGTTTAGATTCATGCACTTGGAAGCAGACTCGTTTCATCACGTGCAAAGCTTGGAAAAACATGTTTTCCCTTGTTGGGAGCAGCAACAGTAACCGAGCAGAGCGAGCGAGCGAGCAGAGGAAGAAGCAGGTACGTTTGGCTGGCTGCCTGCAGGCCTACCTGTAGAATGAGCAGCATCTGTGTAACAGAGGGAGGCACGCGAGCCCGCGGTCGAGACAGGGCGTCCTCTAACTTGACACTCAGGACTATGGTGTTCCTGAAGTGAAGCAGGGCGAGCTGTCGGACAGAAGGCTCCTTACCCTGCGCACAGGAAGGACGTCGGGGATCATCCAGGAAAAAGGTTGGATGGTCGAGGTCATTGGACACAGCAAAGAGAACAAAAAATACAAGCTGGTTGTGTACCTGAACCGGGTGAAAGATGGCCTGCAGCATCGAGAGGACATCACAGAAGAAGAAGTCCCAGGTCTCTGCCAGAGAGTCGAGTAACTTCTGACCTGCGTGGATCACAGAGGAACCAGCCAAACGGACAGATGATTAAAGATTAATGCACCATCCACTACAATATGTCTTCAGACTGTATGTAATAATGCAGCTGTACCTTCGTAGAATCTTATTTTGTCCCGTAGGATGACCATGCCTTTTGTCAGCAGCTGGTTCTGTGAAAAGAAGCCAGAAAAATGATGAATGTCGGATTTAATGCAGAGCTTTTTAATATGCTGGGTTTCATATATCTAAATTCCTTTTTCAGAGGTTTGTTACCTGAAGATATTCTGTGAAGAAGGAACCCAGCTCGGTCTTCAACAGATGTCTGAGAAAACAAACACTTTTAAAGTCAAAATAAGAACGAATAAATGTAATAAATGAACAGTGATGGACAGAAAACAGCGTTTACCACTTGAAATCAGTCACTTAACTACATTAATTACACGTCTGACTGCGCAGTTTCACAGTAAAAAACACAGGATGTGAACCAATCTACTACATCTACCCTGTTTCCTACATTAGATTCCCATCTCTCAGTGTGGTCAAAGAAATGTGGCTTTTCAGCTCACGGAAATATGTCTATTGAGCCGTAATGGAGGCGAACAGAAGTGATGGGTCTGGTTTAGAAAGATAATGAGATATCTGGCACGAGCACATGACTCCCCAGGCCCACATACAGTACACAGCACACACACAAACAAACTCATTCACAAGAAAACATTCAGTCAGCATATACAGGACACACAGTAATTACAATAATTACAGCACAGAATGACACGGGCAGTCTAAAATAAGGACGTTTCCTCTTCGCGGTGTTTGTGTGCGGCTGTCAACACTTACCGGACACCTTCATTAAGGACGTAAAGTTCATTATCAGCCAAGCCCTTCTTCTGGAAGACTGCTATGACAGCATTGTGGATGCTACAGCACAAACACACACAAACCGGGATGTGTTACAGCCTCAAAGGCATCCAAAAAAAAAAAAAACTACACATCTGATTGTATTTGTTGTACCTGTTCCAGGTGGCGTTGGCTCCGGCCCTCTTCTGCTTCTCCCCTCTGTCTTCCGGCGAACTTTTCTCACTCTTCCCCAGCTCGCTGAGGCTGGGAGAGCTCATCAGCTTCAGCCGGTGCAGAGTCCTCATGAGGTGAATATGAAAGGGGGAGAAACAGAGTACGCACTTAGTGGTGGACAGGAGAGAAAGAAGGTCAGGCGATGAGCCGACATAGAGGAGATAGCTAGAGGGGAGAGGAGAACATGAGTCCGAGAGAAAGAGCGTGCACAAGTAGAAAGAAAAAAAAAGAAGCACAATGACAACACAAAGAGCGGCCGGTGACAGAGGAGCAGAGAAGTAGGACAGAATGATGCATGGTGAGACGGGGGCAGCGCACTATAAGAGCAGGATGGGTGGAGCCCGGCGGAGAGGTGGACCACAGTGTCACTGCAACCGCCCGAGGTCTCAGAGCAGCAGAAAAACAATAGCACATGCACCGATGGGGGCAAGCTCTTCCTCCCTCTCTGCCTCTCTGTCAGTACAATACAGCCATTGATGCAAACAAATATTTATGCAGAGCACAGATGCCAGAGGAACTGCAGGGTAAGCAGGGCCCAAGCAGTTGGGACTCTGTTGTGCTTGTGACTGTACAGAGAGGAGGAGGTGGAGGAGGAAGTCGTCTCACTTATTAACAACAGAAACACGGATAGGAAGCGGTGACACGATACAGAACAATGAAGGAGGCTTTCCTGCTCTGCCACAGCTGGCGCAAACGTGTGAGACAGGAACCTGACTAATACCCGATGCTTTTTTGTTTTTTTTAAGCTGAAGAGTTTCTCCTCACCTGGTTGCTAAATACACACCTACAACCAGCAGCTGATAAGCTCAGCCTGAACACTGGGGTTTAATCTACCTGCCAGATTTTAGAAGACTGTGACCAAGAAAAGAATGCAAGAAAAGGTTAAGCTGATTATTAATTATTCCTGCTTGTGAGGATGGAGCTTGAATATCAATATGTGTTTTTTTTTCACTCAAATGTGACATTAAAATGATTCCCTTGTGTGAACAGATGTAAACTTTTACAAGAAACAGAAAGCATAATGTTGCCATGGAAACACTGAAGGCTGCAGCACCAGCCTCCTGCTTTAGTCGGCATTTGTTTACATTTTGGAAAATTAAATGCACCAAATTAGCTAATAACAGTTTTGCTTCGTACCAGTGGATGAACCGACAGCTACCACTGGGAATGACTTAAACTTGATGATTGTCAGACAGGTTCCTGCCCCATTAGTGCTCTAATTAGCTCCAGTTAGTCATAATTATGAGTTAACACCTTTGTTTACTTGGTGAATGCAGGGCACTCCTGTTTAAAGTACCTGAAACATCTTGTTGCCATTTTTTGCATTGACTTCCTATCTGCCAATGCTGATGTGATACCTGCAATGAAAATACTGAAACCTATCCGTTCGATTTATCGCTCCACCTCCATATGGAACATCTCCTTCATAAGATCATTCTCTTAAATCCTAATTTACATCAGAGCTGCAGGTATAATTACAATTTGAGTGCAGTCGTAAAAACTGAAAATGTCCTGAATTGAAATGAGTAAGAAAAAAAACCTGAGTATTTTCAGGAGAGACTGGTGAAAAACTAGCGCTCTGAAAAAGAAAAAGTGATGAGTTCAAACCCACGCAGTCCTGAAACTCTCCGCTGACAGCACTGCAGTAAACAACAGACACAAACACAGACGACATGGAAAGCAAGTGTACAAACTGATGAGATGTACACACGTAAGGAAACGAGTCAATCAAACGTGTCCCGCCAGGAGATCATTATCATTAGGCCAGCATGTGTTGCAGGCGAAGCTCAGCTGGTTAATGAAATCTTCTGGGACCAGAGATGGCGTGATTTTTTTTTTTGTGTGTGAATGCTAATGAATATTTCATGCGTTTTCCAGGATGCTGTATGTTGTGAAATGTTAATCCCAGGATCTGAGCCTCACCTCCTGATTGGATGCTCGCTGCTGCTGTCCATGTCTGGACTCGGGGGAGGGGCCGAGAAGGTGCTGAAGTTGAGTGACAGGGGACGGGGGGAGGGCCGGGAGGCGTGCCTCCGCCGGAGTCCGTCAAGCATCTGAGCAGAAAGAGGGGAAATGATGAGAAAAAAAGGGTTATTATTGAGTTTTGCCTGAAGGTAGAAATGTCAGCAAAGGCAAACAGAGGAGTGGATCAAGCATCTGAGTGAGGCGTCGATGAAATATGAGTCCACTACCACCACCTTTTACTTTAAAATAAGGAACACGGAAGACCTCCTTTGGTGAAAATCTAATAATTCACCTTGTTAGGATTTTTGCCAGTTGACTAGTTGTTTAGTCACAGATATATCGTCGGCATTCAGGTGTCTTTGCAAGAACAGAATACAGAAAAAGATGCTTGGGGTCATTTAGAAACTGTGTCATCACAGAGCAGCTTCAACTCCATTGTTTACAGTCGTGTCTGCAGCACATGTAGCAGAGCAGGCGATGGTGCGGAGTCAAGCTTTGTCTTCGTGGTGACTTTCTAACTAGTTTGGTAATGCTTCACTGGAACGATACTAAACAATGATCCCATCATGTTCCCTTTTCAATATAACATGTGTATATAAACAATATCAGAATGCGTTATTCCCTTTAACCAGTATTAGCCTCAGAAATATTCAATTCAATTCAATTCAATTCAATTCAAGTAACTATTTATCCCCTAAGGGCAATTCAAAAGCTCACTGAGTATTTAATATAGACATTAAAGCAAACAAAAGCAAACAATAAACCACATCATAAAGATCACATTATATTACATTCAGCACCATCAGTCTCTAGTCAACACGTCCATCTGGTGTGTTTTTATATGCTAGAAGACATATCATGAGCAAAATTAGCCGTCAGCGTTACAGCTGATCGTTTCCAACTTCAAACTGATGCTGTGCTGATGAAAGTCTTGTAATATTTCTTTTGTTTTTTAAAGAACTGCTCTTTTTATGATGTCTCGTTGTTATTGCACAACCTTGAGGACAGTCACTTTGCATGTCACTGCACGTACCGTATGAGAATCTAACAAATAAAACTCTTAAACCTTTCATCTTGAACGTGGATTCACACTTGCTAGACTTCAAACATAACAAACCTAAAGAACCAATCCTGTTGGCTTTTGTTTCGACAGGTTTTCCACATGATTTTCCTTCTTCAGAATTAGTTTTCAAATACTACAACTTGCCATTAGCGTAGAGTACTTTTACAGTTTCTCAGCTGGGTCGTAGGTGAGCTGGTGAGCTGGAGCTGCAGCGAGTGGGGATACATGTACAGAGACAGAGGCTTCGTAGATCAAGGAAGCTACAGCGTAGAGTTACAGCTCAGCCATTTTAAGACAGGAACACATTACATTAATGGAAAAAACACCTTCTTTCTTCGTTGAATCACTGACCGGAGATCACCAAAACAAACACAACAAATTGAAACGAAACTTACAGTCAGAGGGGCGCAGGAGAAAATCAAACCACACATGCGTGACGGTCTATGTACAGAACAGATTGTACTTTCTATTTCTTTATTCAGCCTGACTGTTATTTCAACACAAAGGAGGAGTGTTTTGCAATCAGAGCTCACCCTTACGCTCCAGCCCTACCGCAATCACACACACATTACATCAGAATGAAAAGGAGACATGCATGTGTGTACACGCATCAGTGTGTGTGACTGATTCCTGGTACAGTTACAGTGCATTTCCCCACAGAAACATACTGTACACAGTGAAGCACCATCCCCTGGTCAGAGGGGAGAACAACAGTCTGGCTTGTCACTCTTCAGACAAAGACTCAACACAAGCCTCCTCACTGCCTCCCTGCATGCAAGTCATAAAAACAGGAGGTGACTGGTGTGTTTTCAGGAGGACTGGCCTGCAGTTTCGTTACAGTAACATCACATCTCAGTCAGGAACACAGACGAGGCTACACGCTGTCTGCCATGCCACGCCAGTCTGGGCATTTCTGCTTTTGTTCACCCCTCCTCCTTGTCTTTTAGGGGCGACTACAGTCAGATCGATGCCACTTTTAATTTACACCAGTCTCTGTTTCCTTTCTGCCCCACAGATCCCCCCGCTGTGCTGTTTATTCGACATTAAACGTCTCAATCAATCGGCCAGACACGCAATCAACAGTCGATCCTACAGGGAGGAATGTACAGCCAGTCGTGCGTACGTGGAGGTTTTCTATTTTTTTTCTTCTATTTTTTTTAAATACCTGTATGGACGAGCGGATGAAGCAAAGTGCCACCGTAAACAAAGCGACTGTGTTGTGGAGACACAGTGTGGCACAGATGTGGCCGGAAGAGTCCACCTTTGGAGGAAAAACTGGATCATAATGGCCACAAAGTTGCCGTATGTCATGCGCCTCTGCCCGCCCACCGCCTGCACTCACCGTTCCTGATCCTGTCGTGTTGCTCCTGATGGGATGAAACGGTCATGTAGTGCCGAGGGGGGAAGTGTTCTCTGTCCGGGCTCATCGGCGGCTGGATCTGCTACTGCTCCCCGCCGGTCTGCGCACCCTCACGGGCATCGGGGTGCAGGCGGATAAAGGGTCCGACCTGCGGTGCGGTGGAGGGGGACTCATTCATGAGGCATGAACCGCCTCTCTCTCTCTCGCTCTCCTTCTTTCTCTCTCTCTCTCTCTCTCTCTGGCTCGCCCCCGCTTTGTTTTGACGAGATGCAAACGCGAACCTGGACGCGTGGACGCGGCCACGAGCGACACGTGGACGCGCGT